AAGCTATGCACATATATATAATAAACCATATAAACAATTCGATAATAAGGTAAGAGATAGACAACCACCTAAATGAAATAAATATAAGACATATTTGAATCAAATGATAATTATGATAAACCAATTAATCATGGAGGAACAAAATTAGATTTAGCGTCTGTTTGGGCGTCATTTTTCCTGATATTAATAGAGAAAATATGACCGTTGGTAAATAGCAGTTGACATGCCTGTACAAAGTTCACTGTTGAAACTGTAATTTTGCAGTGACTTATTGCCAATTTTACCACTTTTGTTAATTTGCAATCAAAACTCCACCTACCGTATTGCACACCTTTCATCTACCCACACATTTGCACTTCCTGTCTCCTTTCAAAGACGATTCCATCTTTGTAGCTACTGTGTTCCGGCCAAAACATTCAACTTCAACATAACAACAACATTATTGTTCATCTTCAACTGGCCAACACTGATTGCAAGTGGTTTTCAGTCGCTGTTTAGCCGAAGAAGAAAGATGGACTGTACCGGTCGGCCAGTCTGAAGCAGAAGACCTAACAAGGAATTAACCCATTCTCCGTTCAAAAATTGGCTGAATCCGTTTTGATTATTACCTTGTGGTAAGTGGATCTTCGACGTCAAGAATCTGTTTTGGCCTTTTTTTTTTCTCATTTGGTACTACCGCTGTCACAATTTGTCGAAGGTTTTCGAATATTGCAATTGGTTGTTTTACTTTGCGACTTGAATGGCTAGATTTTTTGGGAAAGCATTTTCACTTCTATTAAATGGATTTGAATGAAATAAGCTAAATTATGTTGTTGTATGAAAATGATCAAATACGCACCATTTATGTGATGTGTAATCACATTTCTCCAGCCAACACATTGAATTTCAAGAAAACAGAACTGTTGGTGGGTCTTCAACGTTACTAAAACTATTGTGGGTTTTGCAGATTGTACGCCCATGTTTCGACCCCCAGTCTCCATTCACAACTGCACGGCTTAGGCATAGAGGTGAAAGAGACGGTCGGAATTACATGGCTCCACTATCATACAATTGGTTGATTCCACCAGCAGTATAGCCATCGTCACCACTTCAGGCGAGTACAAAACAGGCATGGACCCATTCCCTTCTCAGGTAAGGTTTTGTCATACCTCTTATCCTATATCAATTGCTATGTGTTATGTTCGTTTTCAAGGCTTACCAAACCTTCTTCTTCTCCATGCAGACCAGTGAAGTACGTGGTCCGGGTTTGTGAAGGGCTATTGAGTCGGCCAAGAAATATGCGAGGTGGAGAGATGCTGAACGGCGAACGTTCATAGCAACCTGTGAAACGGCCATTGCTGAAGGGCATCGGCATGCTAAATGTTTTACGAAAACTGGGTGGGAACGTGTGATGACGTTGTTCAATGAAACAACAGGACACAGCTAGACTAAACTCTAATTGCGCAACCACTGGGACGCAATGCGTCGTGAACACAAATGGCTAATCTAATTGTTGGGCTGTACCAGGGTCGAATACAACCTGTCGTCTGGTATGATCGTAGCGTCAGAGGAATGTGGACATGAAAACTGAAGGTGATGTTTTTCATATCAGATTGACGTTCACATGGACATGTATATTGTGGTCAATGCGTGAGGTTATGATTGTTCATTACATCATGTATGTTCCAAATTCTAAATGTCGCTGCACATTGTTAAGAAATATGCCACTTTGAATTTTTTTTTTGTCCATAACCACATGTATAACACGCCTAAGTCATATCGCCTGACAATAGTCTACCATTTAATTAATTAGATCGGCCACACTAATTCATTTGTTGTTGTCGATTTGTTGTTGAGATGTTTGCGTCACAACTTTTATATCAATAGTGCTAACCCAATTGCAGGAGAACGAGGAGTACAAAGACTTCAAGGACAAAAATGTGAGCGAAATCTATGTCGGTTACCATCAGCTTTTCGACGATAGCTATGATGGTGACAAGTACGCAGTCACACTGACGAAGTTATGTCGGATGGGCTTCAGTTTGTTTGAGGACAGTGTCGTGGATGACGAAAGGGATGCAATCCCTATTGATGAGGAAAGCACTGGTTCGAGCTCTGAGGACGTTCAGCACAAAAGTACTTCCGATATACAGCAAATGTTGAATGCCAAAAGTGGCGAGAAGAGGAAGTTGGGATCAAGAAGGCAAAAAGGAAAGAAGAAAAGGGTTTCAGCTCGGGATCTGTCCTACTCGGTTGATCGGGCGACCAGCACCGCATAAGAAGTAGCGGCAAGGATTGAAAGCATCATGGCGTAGACAAAAAATGCAGGGGTTTTTTGTGTCGAAGAATTGCTCTCTTTAGGAAGGCTTGAGCGACGTACACCATTGTACTTCTTCACATGTACAATTCTGGCACAGAAGAAATTTCGAGACATGCTTGATGTCATGCAAGAAGCCGATGAGAAGTTCGAGTGGATTGAATGGTAGTTTCACCAGCATAATAAATCTAACCACTGAATTTTTGCATCCGCTAACTATGTTTACATGTCTTTTTTAAACATTGTGATCTTCCTTACTGCTTTCGCATATGTACTTTTGCTTTTGGTGACGTTATCGTTCCGGACACCACATTTTGTTTTCCCAGTTAAGTACATATTTTAAATGTGGAAGTGATCGAAAGTACTAGTTTCCTCAAAATTATTATTGTGTTTGGGTAACTTGAATAGTGCACATATGGATAACATGGCCGTAACGTACATTAGGCTTTTGAGATGAAATTCATAAAAGCAACCACAATCACATGTGAAAAAAGGACTAGTATCCTACTTTTTCCAAATTGGCTGGTACAATTATGTACATTTCACTCACAAGATAAACAATTGAAATGATTCTTGCTTCTTATATAAATGTAGTAGTTTGCCACAATAATGCTGCATCTTTAGGTCAGTGTGTATAAATCTTTCTAATTTTAAGTATTTAAGTGATCTTCAGTTTTCTTTCAATGAATAATCTCAACTTCAATGTTGCCCTTTTTTCGGGATCAGAAGACGAAGAAGAAGTCGTTGATGATGAGTTCCTTACTATAATGGCGAAAGACATCACAACATGGTGTAGTTATTGTCGAATCGCCGGAAGCGATGCCAGGAACTACTATCTCAAACAACGCTGTCGTATCCAAAGATTCCCATCTTCAAGAAATGGACACTTGTTTATGATGGAAGCAATGGAAGATA